CGCGGCTGCCGCCGTCAGGGCAGCGAGGAGCAAGGACCCCACGCGAACGGGCCAGCGTGTGACATGGGCGAGGGCGCAGAACAGGAAGACGCCAAAAAAGTGCGAGGCGATCATCGCCAGCTTGTAAGAGATTGTGGCGAAAGCACCCGGCAGCGACTGCACGAAGATGGCCTCGCCAATGAAGATCATGTTACCCGTCTGCAGGCCAGCGAAGCTCTCGAAACGAACCCAAGTGATCACGTCGGCGAAGCCTGAGATGAGCGCGAGGGCGACGACCAGCGCGAGGGTGCCCGACGGCGGCGACATTCTCGGGAGTCAAGGGCTGGGCTGAACAGCGTGCCACCCTTGTGGAGGGAGGGGAATAGAGTTTATTTATACCAAAAGGAGGGCTACACGACGCCCTCTACGCTGGGGTGCCGGCGCAATAGAGTTTTGCAAGGATTGGCTTACGCACTCTTCACACAGGGGCACTCACAGCAGACTGTGAAGGTTCACGGGGCCGACTACAGTGTACAGCGGGGAGGAGTGGATTCTAGAGCTACTGTAGGAGTGGATTCTAGCTGTCCTACTGTCCTCGCTGTCGGGGATGGTGGCGGGTGCACCTGGAACTGCCCCGGGGCGCACGGGATGCAGCTGTCGCTGCTCGCCGCCCCGCGCGCCGGCATGCGCGTCCCTGCGGGGCACGGCGTCGGGTCTGCCGTCCCCTGCTCGCAGAAGTTGCCTTCAGGGCACTGCCCGCTGCAGGTGGGGCTGCTCAGGTCGGTCTCGTTCCCGAAGAAGCCGGCGGCGCAGTCGAAGCACTTGAGGTCGCCGGTGAAGGCCTCCGCGCCGTCGCCGCTCGTGCGCGGCATGTACTGCCCTCGCTCGCAGATCCAAGTGATGCGCGCCTTGGCGCTGACGGTCGTCTTGCCGACATTGCCCTTGAAGCTCGTGGCGACGATGGTGGCGCCGACGCTGTCTGCGTTCTCGGAGGCGTACTCGATCGCGGCGCCGCCCTTGTCAGCCTTGTTGAGCTCAAAGACGGAGTCGCTGATCTGGAGTCTCTCCGACTGCTCGGCAAAGAGCCCGCCGCCGCTCTTCCCCGCCTCGCAGCGCGAGACCGTCACCCCCTTGAGGTCGAGCCGGCTGCCATCCCGAGATGCTCGCCGCACGTGCAGTTGGAGTCGGGCGCGCACAAGAGAGTCTCCGACGCGCGGCTCGCCTGACGGGGAGGGGGGGGCGAGGGGCGTGGGCTCAAGATTCTGTTCACATGTGTACATGTACCCCCGTCGAGACGCGCGCGCGCCTGGGCGGCCCGGACGGTGACGCCTCCGCAGATCTCGATCAGGGATGCGGTGTTCGGCTCTCCGGACCAGTGGCTCTGGTCGGACCACGACGACGTGTCCGTGTTCTCGAGGGAGCCGGTCCAGCGCACGATGTCGACGGCCATTGACCTCGGCTGAGCTGCTGTAGTGGCGATCTCGGCCGCATCTCTTTCTGGGAAAGCAAATTCTTTTCCCCCGGGAACCCCCCGCTTGCGCTGTGCTGACTCGTGACCGTTCCTGCGTGACTCGGACTATCTTGGACGCACAACCAGCGGGGGGGGTTCGCGCACGCATTTATTTTTATACCCAAATTTCTTTTTCGTGGCGTGACGAAGCCGCCAACGAAAACGAATCCCTTCAGGTTGGAGTTCGTGTCGGCGAGGTTGAGGTACTCGACTCCCGAGGAGGAGAAGTCGGAGAGCGAGACGCGCACCGCGTAGCCGTGGGGCGAGCCGTTGTTGTCTGGCACGTACGAAGCCGCCAGCGAATCCCTTCAGGTTGGAGTTTGTGTCGGCGAGGTTGAGGTACTCGACGCCCGAGGAGGAGAAGTCGGAGAGGCTGACGCGCACCGCGTAGCCGTGGGGCGAGCCGTTGTTGTCTGGCACGTACGAAGCCGCCAGCGAATCCCTTCAGGTTGGAGTTTGTGTCGGCGAGGTTGAGGTACTCGACGCCCGAGGAGGAGAAGTCGGAGAGCGAGACGCGCGCCGCGTAGCCGCTCCGCCCGCCGTCGTTCGGTTGTTGGACGGCACGTAGTAGGCGTGTGCGTCAGTGGCGAAGCCGCCACGGAAGCCCTTCAGGTTCGAGTTGGTCTCGGCGAGGTTGAGGGACTCAACTCTGCAATCCGACCAAACGCACGCTGGCGGAAAGGTCGGAGGCGGCGCTACCGGAGGCGGCGCAAGCGGCGGCGACGGAGGCGACGGAGGCGACGGCGGCGACGGTGGCACCATGCCCACAAACTTGCGAACCGCCTCGAGCTCCTCGCTCACGCTCGCGAGCCCCTGCGAGACACCGTCCTTGAGCTGCTCCGTGACGAACTCAGTGAAATTTCCGCGAAGCGCTTCGATCCGCTCGGTGATGGCAGACGGTGAACGAGCTAGCGTGCGGGGACAGCGGCATTGTGCACGGTGCTAAGTGCATTGCCGCTCTTAACGGAGTCGCTTAGGCGGCTCCGGTGGTGTGCCGGTGATAGTACTAGCACGCGCCAGTTCGCACCTGTGTCGAGCCTGTCTGCTGTCAGAGAGACTTCTCTTGTTTAAGGTCCTCCGGGCCAGTTTCGGGGGGCAAACCCCGCCCGGCCCCTGAACCCCAGGTAAGGCCCAGGTGTGGCCTAGGGCATCAGAAGGGACCAAGAGGAGTCCAGTCTGAGCCATAGAGCCCATGTCTTTGCCCCCGAAGGTCGCGTTCAAATGCCCGGAACGGACGTTACAGTGGTGTCCGGCCGGCGCGATCACCGAGCTGTGACGCTCAGGGAAGACTGATGAGGTGCTGGTTTCTTTGCCCAGGGCTGGCCTTCCCCCCAGGCTGGATCAGCTGAGCAAGGTTTGGGGAGAATCCCCCGGTCAGATCTTCAGATATTTTAACGGATGACCGAAATCAGCCCCGTTTTTGCCCATTTTTTTATGGACGTGCTTCTTTCTTGATCCCCGCGATAAAAACGGTATGGCGGTGGAATACTTCTCTGCTGTCGACGCGCAACCAGGGCTCGTGGTTCGTTAACTCCTTGTCACTGACGGGAGCACTGGTCGGCGTGAAGACACAAGATGGCGCTGTTCGCGCCTCCCGTCCACCACTGTCTCGTGGTGCAGAGAGGGGCCTACCCCAACCCAATGCACCCACTACAAGAGACCCTCGAAAGAGACCCAAGACGACCCAGAGCGCAGAGGCCTTCCCAATAGATGGGGGCGGGGGGGAGGGACACAAGCGGCAGACGGCGCCCCCGAGTTCCTTAGACCAAGAGCGAGACGCGCACCGCGTAGCCGTGGAACGCGCCGTTGTGGTGAGGCACGTAGTAGGCGTATGTGTCAGTGACGAAGCCGCCCATGAAACCCTTCAGGTTGGAGTTTGTGTCGGCGAGGTTGAGGTACTCGACGCCCGAGGAGGAGAAGTCGGAGAGCGAGACGCGCGCCGCGTAGCCGTGAGCCGCGCTGTTGCTGTACGGCACGTAGTAGGCGTGTGCGGCAGTGACGAAGCCGCCCATGAAACCCTTCAGGTTGGAGTTCGTGTCGGCGAGGTTGAGGTACTCGACGCCCGAGGAGGAGAAGTCGGAGAGCGAGACGCGCACCACGTAGCCGCTGCGCGCGCCGTAGTCCCACGGCACGTAGTAGGCGTGTGCTTCGGTGGCGAAGCCGCCAATGAATCCCTTCAGGTTGGGGTTGGTGTCGGCGAGGTTGAGGTACTCGACGCCCGAGGAGGAGAAGTCGGAGAGCGAGACGCGCACCGCGTAGCCGTGAGGCGAGCCGTTGTCTAACGGCACGTAGTAGGCGTGTGCGTCGGTGGCGAAGCCGCCACTGAAGCCCTTCAGGTTGGGGTTGGTGTCGGCGAGGTTGAGGTACTCGACGCCCGAGGAGGAGAAGTCGGAGAGCGAGACGCGCACCGCGTAGCCGCTCCGCCCGCCGTCGTTGTTGAACGGCACGTAGTAGGCGTGTGCGTCAGTGGCGAAGCCGCGACCGAAGCCCCTCAGGTTGGAGTTCGTGTCGGCGAGGTTGAGGTACTCCTCGCCACATGCGGAGCATTCGCAGAGCCAGATGCGCCCCGCGTAGCCTTGGGGCGAGTCCAAGTTGTCGGGCACGTAGTCGTCGTAGACGTCCGAGGTGAAGCCGCCAGGGAATCCCTTGAGGTGG